AACTATAGCAAGACATTGGTTATATTGTGTGACCTTAAAATTAATCAAAATGTTGCAGGGATCATTTCTTTAAGATTTTCATCTGGAGGAGCAGGTAATTAAGCAGGGCAGATGGCACGAACTAGTCATAAGCTAAGTGATGCTGACTCAGATAAGTATCTGTTAAACATAGCTATTATAACACATTATTTTTAATGTAGTCTAAACTAGAATTTTTACCTTGAATCCCTTGGGGGAATAGAAGGGGAAAAACCCCAATATACAGTGGTTGTGGGTGTGTTTTGTTTTTGTTTCATTTTTTTTAAAAAAAATTGAGATTGCTTTTATTGCTTACTTTTCTTTCTTTGCTGTAATACACAATGAGAAAGTGACTGGTTTGTAGCAAAAAAAATTTTCACTTTATGGAATATACTGTTCAACAGCAATGGTTTTGTACTTTCAATGTAGGTGCCATATTCATCGATTTGGTTCATATAAATAATAATTAGGAACTATGTATTAATAATTAAATAGAAGTTATATATAATAAGGGTTCACTGATAAATAGCTGTAAGGATCGAGAAGGCTACAAACATAATTTTCAAGAGAAAAGTGCTTTACAGTGAGGGGATCAGTGAATAAAAACACCTATTGTGCAATATATATTTCAAAGTAGATTATTAATACCTCTACCTTATGGTGAATTGCTCTAACCACTACTTTCAGAAAGGTGTCGTAGCTTCACTCTTTCTGATTTTCTTGTCAATGTTTGCTTTTAGTGACGCTTGTGTAGGTATGTGAAACCTCTCTTACGTGGACGAGCAATTATAGTTAAGGCAGCAATTTTACTCTTTGCACTTTGAAGCTCATTTGTTACCATTTGCTTATTACTGTTTCACTTTTCAAAATTTCCCACCAATCCTTAGTCCATGGGCTTTGAGTTTAATAGTTATTATTCTTTGTCTAGCATTGTTTAGTTAGATGTAGATGATCATCTGGGCAGAAAACTGAGTTAATTTAGCCAGTAAGAAGAGTGTATACAGAGAGTTTGAATAATAAAATAATTGTAGGTAAGAAGTCTTTCTGCTGTTATGAGGAAATAGGAGCTTGTTAGTGGTTTTATTTTGTTTCTGTTTTGTTTCATTGTTTTTCAGGACAGAACAAGGAACTGCATTCCTTGGGCTCTGTAATGATCTTTATTGATCATTACAAAAAATAGTATGTTCTGGGTTGAACACTATGCAGGATATGAGGACATCAGAAATAGGAAGCAAACATGAGAGTTGTTCAGAGCTGACCACATGCAGTTGTGTGAGAAAGCTAAATCATGTATTTTTACGTTATTTTACATCATCTCATTTGAAATGAGACGGTATTTGCCAAACCTGCACAAGCAATTGAATAATAGAAACCAAGCAGAAAATGCTTTTAGTCTTTGTCTGTATTTGCTGAAGTCTTTTGAGTTCTGTCTCTTTCTCTTATGCTTGTCTAACAGATTTTATTAAGGAATTAATGGATTTTACACTTCAGTTAGTCTGATTTCTGTTTCTGGCCATAAAGTGTTTGTGCAGTTGCCTCAGTGCTCTTGTCAGCCCTGACTGATTTGGAGAACCAGCTTCCATCCCTCAGGTTTTCTCCAAGTTGTCTTTGCATAAAATCGTTTTTGATATCAAAGACTCTTAAAGCAAAACATAATGTTGTCATTAATATTGTAGTCTCATATACCAGGCTAAAAATGTATGGAATTAGTAGATGGATAAATGTTTATGCTCTGTTTTCAGCCTAGCTGTTTGTGGAGCATCTAAAGGTTAAATAAAGCCAAATTTTTGATTCAGGATTGGCTGGATTAAAAATTTCAGAGTCCTGAAGATGGAAGGTTATATTTCCTAGTCTCTGTTTTGGGTGTCGTAATAGACATTGAATACAACTGAATTATGTTAAAAGTGGAACAAGTAGAAAAGCAAGGATGGAAAAGGGATAAGAAACAAGAATGGAAGATATAATTAATTGTATTATTTGTTGTCTATTAACATATACAACTGCAGAAGTAAACTAGGCTTATGCAATTGAGTTGACTTAGTACTAACTCAGATAACAATAGGAGGATGATAGGTGTGGCATGGTAAAAACAAATAACTATTAGATCTGTGGAAAAACTAAGAACCATGTCCTGTTAAGAAAGGTCTCAATAAAGACTGTACAATAGATAAAATTCAAAATAAATAAGTGTATATGGCTAGATCTTAGTGCACGTGGCCTCTGTTTTGCCAATGACCAGGCCCAACAAAAATGATAGCACCAGCAGGGAGATGAACCAATATGCAGACTGTATTGTAGACAGAAATGTTACTATATGAATGACCGCCGGGGGTACAAACAGGTCAACAAGCTCATACGTGATCGACGCCACCCCCAATGATCCCACAAATGACATGACTCGGCCCACAACAGGTGGTACAAACAGTGAACTGAGGTTGCCCACAGTTGGCATGGGAAACAGCCAGACCAGCCAGTTAAACATGTAAGAAAAAGGTGCCCACATGGCAACTCTCACCTGATCGACCCGCGTTTGCAAAGGCCTAAACAGACCAGGGCCCAGCTCCAGGGAGAATCAGGAGGTCTGCCCTGAACCAGGAAGCTCTGGGGAGTGCACTCCACAGACAGACACTCCTGACTCCCTGCAAGTGGTCCCAGCTTTTATCCCCAAGCAGACACCTGACCTTTGTCAACTCAGTGCGGGACCCCTGGGGCTCATTTCCCTTATGGCTCTCCCTGCAGGGCCGGCCGCACCCTGGGGGGAGCTATAAGGCAAACTCACCACCTCTTTATGAAGGGCTGTGGGAATCACCCATATGTCAACCTTAATTCGGGGGCTCGGGGTTCAAACCCCAGCATTTCAGCCTCTTGCTTGCATCCCAACCTATCTCAAGCGCTTCTGCCTAATTTGGAACTGAGTGTGAAGGGTACTTGATGGGTGCAAGAGGTGCTACCCATTTTATTCCGGTCAGATGTAACAAATGTCTGCTGTGTGCAGGGAGCGTGGCCTGTGACTTGGGGAGTTTATACCCTAAATCTAGGAAGCTAGATCGCTATGAAGGAAGATGAATTTCGTCTGGACTGAGGTTATATTTGGGATGGGAAGTTTTCCCAGTTTAGTGTGGTTCTCCTGTTGATGTCAACTAGATACTGGATACTTGTCCGAAAGACAAAAAATGAATCGTGAACATAATAAGTCTGTTATATTTTGCATTACTTGCAGTAGAAAGGTTTGAATTTGGTATTTCCACTAATTTTCTTTTCCTTTCCTCATCTTTGCGTTTAATTTGTTGTGGTGTTGTTTTTATTTTTATTTTATTTTCTTGCTGTTGATTACAATGGCTGTAGTTCTTGTTCTCCCCTGTCTGGAACAACTCCTGAGTTCCTATGCTGTGAACACCACTGATTGCTCTTACACAAATCAGGATGAAATATTCATGTTGATCCAACATCATGCTTAAGAGATAAGTAATTACTGAGAATTGGCACATTTTCTGCCTGCAGATTCAAAAGCCAAACATTTTAGGAGAAAGACCAAAATGTTACTAGTATTATGGTTAACATAGTGTTTATGCTTTCTGTTACTTTAACTTTTTGAGCAGTAGAAGCAACTTGAGAACCCAGAATCACAAAAATTGAGTATAAGCTCTGTTCAGGCACAAATTCATGTACATACTTGAAAAAAGTAATTTTGAAAAGATGCTAAAAGCCTCTCTTTCGATAGTGGAATACAGTAGTATTTGTAATTCTGGGAATACTGAGAAAAAAACAGAACAGAAATAACCGACAATATGCTGTAGGGACCAGTCCTCCAGCATAGCTAAAACATGGTTGCCTAGATGAAATTAAGGGCTGACCTGAAGGTCATTTGAGTATATTCAAGAATAAGTTTGTGCCAATTGTTAATGCAGGAATTTAATAAAAACTACACAAAGACATTAATAGGGCTTGTTTTCAAATCAAACTTGTTGAAAGTACAGGTTAAAATGTCTGTATTTAACTGGCTGTTCACATTTGGGATATATGCATACTAAAAATAACCAGTAGGCACTGCTGTTAAAACCAGTGGTACAATCTGTTATGCTGTGAAGAGATTAAGACTTCACAATTCAGTTAAGCAAGGACACTGCTTCACGAAAGTCAGTCTATGTAGGTCACAGTTTTTTAGTGTGTTCAAAGGCTCTTTGTGTTTCAGAAGTGTGTTCTGCATCTTGTTGTAGAAGCTCTTTGTTTCCAAAGAACTTTTGTTAACTCTGCTTCTATTGAACTGCTTCAGGGTTTTATCTCTTTTGTGTAAGATGTAAAGCTACTAACTGTGTTCTCCTTCTGTGTCTGGAATACTGCATCTGTTCTCCCAGCATTTAATTGATAGTTTCCTCTTGTGATGGATACTTTTCCATCCCTTCTATATACTATCATACTTCTGTATCTCACTGATTTCTGCAGTTGTGTAAGCAAATTAATCACTAAAAATGTCTTTGGAAAGGCTTTTGGAGGAACTTAAATCCATGTTCTTGAGCTTCAGCCTCACAGATTAAATGTTTCTAGCCATGATGTATAGATAGTGCAAAAGAGCTGATATAGATGAAAGGAAGTGGAAGTGCAATCAGGCCTCTGGCAGTCATGTGTGATGTTCAAACCCCCTGAAACATTAAGTAAATTTGATTTAATCTAGCTGTGTCAGCTACGTCTATTTATTTATTTTTTTGTTTGTTTATGGTGTTCAAAGAATACTTTATTCCAGAGGCCACTATTAAATGTGTGCTTGGCCTTATATCTCTTTAGTTCAGGGGTGAGTGCTTATTTTATCTGGTTGAATTCTAATACTCTTGTCAAGAAAGTTAACTAATGAATATGTTGTTCACTGTATAAATTGCTCATAGGGAGATTCCTAAGCTTTCCTGTGGTATAAATGACTGGATATGATTAACTAAACAGTGTTTTGTGTTTGTGTAATTTTTTTTTTTTTTGTTGTTCTTTTTTAGGTCCATTTTCCAGACACAGAGAGGGCAGAATGGCTCAACAAGGTAAGGCTAGTCATTAGCATTGCTTCCAAATGGAGAGGGGAGGAGGGAGATCTGAGATTTAAAAAAAAATAAAAGTGTGAAGCAAGAATTTGAGGATGAAGTAGGTTTAACTCTCTGTGCTCTATATATGCTCCAGTTAGTCATGAGAAAGATTAAATCTACTTTCATGGTCTTGAAATTATGAGTTTTGGGGAATTACTTTAAGTGGCATTAAAATAATGACAGCTGTAATTGTGTGGAAGTCATAGCAGCTGTAAACATAGTCTTTTATGTTCTCCTTGTCTGGGATACTTTCCAGTGACTAGGTTCCTGACCTGCAATCTAAAAATAAATCAGTTTTGCAGTTTTGATTTGTATGCGTGATAATCTAAGACACAGATCTATGTAGCTTGGATTTTTTTCAAATATCTTTCATCCAAAGAGCATAGAAGAACATGAGTTAATTAGTAAATAGTGAGAAAAACAATACAGAATTTTCAGATTTGACAGTAAAATACTGTATTTTTTACATTTATAAACTTTATGCAGGTTTTTAAGAAACGCACTTGACCCATTTTTTCTTACTTCTCTCTTTACGTGCAAATAAACTTAAACCTCTTCACCATTCTCTCCAACATTCAGTGTTGGTGCTGGATGCATATATGTTAGTGGGATAGAAAAATAAAATTCTTAATATTGTTTTTCTCCTTCTCCAGTGCTTCAGATTTGTGCAAATGTATAAAACAAACAAACTGAAATTTCCAGAAAGCTTTCCTGTAAAAAGGAACAAGTACATCTGTCTGTAATAAACTGTATAGAAAACTTGTATGTTTAGAACTTTGTACAAAATTTCTTAAATATGCCTCACAAATATTTTTTTAATTAAGTGTGAAGTTGTGTTTCATGTAGAATTCTTTTTTTTTCCTTAGACTGTAAAACAGATGTGGCCTTTTATTTGCCAGTTCATTGAGAAACTCTTCCGGGAGACCATAGAACCAGCAGTAAGAGGAGCCAACAACCACCTCAGTACCTTCAGTTTTACAAAGATTGATATTGGTCATCAGGTTGGTGCCTGTTGAGGCTTTTCTAAGAGGCTCTGTCTTACATACCATTTTCATTTCAATTTACACAAAAATATTTCTTAGTGATGGTTGGTGGTAAGCCTGATTCTGGTTTCTGGGAGAAGATGGAAAGTCTAGTAACTCCTAGTCATGTGAAGAGCTCATACCAACATTGTTTTTGTACAGTTCATGTAATGCTTTACATTAAGTGATCAGGGACCATTATTCTTTTCCTGCCAGGTGATCCAAGTGTAGCTACCTTTATTATAACAGATGAGCTTTTAATCATGTTTGTACGGAGTCCGATGATAAGGCTGCTGGCTCAGCTTTCCAAAGAACTTCACATAACATAGTATCAAGGAGCAGACAGGTGTTCTGTTTGGTCCCATGAATGAAGGGATCATACATAATACACAGCTCGTACATATCTGCAGGAGAGTGCTTTTGACCAGTCCAAGCTGGTTCCTCCCAAGTAAGTTCCCTCTGCTTGCAGTAAGTTCAGCACTTGCCTGCATCAACTGGAAGTTTACTTCTGTTTACATGTAACTTGATGGCTTTTTTATCAAGGTGTCTTTTGTGTCCTCTTGCTTGTCATAAATGGGATTTTCAGTAAGGATGTAAAAAATCTCGCCCTTCCCCCCCCCCCCCCCCCCCCGCACCACCCCTTTTCTGAATGTTATAAAATTGTTTTGGTTGGAAGAGACCTTTAAGATCATCAGGTCCAACCATTAACCTAGCACTGACAGGTTGCTACTAAACCATGTGTAGATGTAGTGCTGAGGGACATCTTTTAAACACCTCCAGGGATGGTGACTCCACCATTTCCCTAGGCAGCCTGTTCTGATGCTTTACAACCTCTTCTGTGAAGAAATATTTCCTAATACCCAATCTAAACCTCCCACGGTGCAACTTGAAGCTGTTCCTGTTTGTATTGTTGCTTACTACATGGGAGAAGAGACCGACCCCCCACCTCACTACAGCCTCCTTTCAGGTGGTTGTAAAGAGTGATAAGGTCTCCCCTGAGCCTCCTTTTCCCCGGGCTCAACAACCCCAGTTCCCTCAGGCTTTCCTCCAAGAGAAAAGAAAAAGAAAGAAAGAAAGAGAAAGAGAGAGAGAAAGAAAGACAAGACTTGTTCTCTAGACTCTTGACCAGCTTCGTTGTCCTCCTTTGGACATGCTCCAGCACCTCAATGTCTTTCCTGTAATGTGGGGCCCAAAACCAAACATAGTATTTGGAGTGTGGCCTTAGCAGTGATCCCTGCCCTAGTCCTGCTGGCCACACTATTTCTTATAAAGGCCAGGATGCTGTTGGCCTTATTGGCCAATGTGGGGCCCAAAACCAAACATAGTATTTGGAGTGTGGCCTTAGCAGTGATCCCTGCCCTAGTCCTGCTGGCCACACTATTTCTTATAAAGGCCAGGATGCTGTTGGCCTTATTGGCCACCTGGGCACACTGCTGGCTCATATTCAGCTGGCTGTTGACCAACCAGGTCCTTTTCCAGCAGGTAGCTTTCCAGCTGCTTGTTGAGTAGGGTTGTTGTGACCCAAGTGCAGGACCTGGCACTTGAACTTGTTGAACCTCATCCTATTCTTGGCCTATCGATTCCATCCTGTCCAGATATCTCTGTAGAGCTTCCTGATCCTCAAGCAGATCAACAGACCCACTTAACTTGGTGTTGTCTGCAGACTTTCTGGCAGTCCCCTCGATCCCCTCATCCAGATCATGTTCGTAAAACTGATGTTAAGTTTCAGGTGTGATGGAGGGGAATTATTTTTCTCTCTTCATATCTCTATTTCATATATATTACAGTTCATTATACTCTATGGCACCTTTTGTGTGGTTCTTTTTTTTAACAAAAAAGTTGCAAATCCTTTTATGCAGAGGCTCTGTCCTACCCTAGGTACACCTGTATTACAGGCTATAGAATAGAATTGCTTTTAATCCATACTAATTTTAAGTAGGGTTTAAATAAGCTTCCACACTTTCCCTATGGTTCTGCAGGTGGACCAAGTTATCTCAGGCACAAGAAGCAGCTGTTCTTACTTTATGTTGAAGCCCTGATTAAGTTGCATCCTGTGAGCTGCACAGCCTCAAACATGGCAATCAGCAGTCAGATTTCCATTCTACTTAAATTACTAAAAAGATAAAAATATGACAATTCTTCCAGAAAGAAAAAAAACTCAAAGTGTTGACAGGAGGTGGTGCTAACTGAGATTATTGGTCATCATATCCCACCTAGTATTTGATGAACATTTGGGTCTTGGGAATGTCTGACTGATATGTGTTGTTTCTGTATGAGAGAGAGGAATGGAGGGAAAGA